CTCAGTGAACATGATTCCAATATTAAAGACAGATGGTATGAGCATTACGGAAAATATATATATTAATGGAAGAAGGATACTAACATACACACACACACCTCCGTTCCATACCCAGTCCCCTCACATAAGGTCACATTTATTAAATTTAACCATTACAGGACAGGCACGCCCTTGTGATGGACGCTCGCGCGCTCTCGATCTCGGTGAGCCAGTTCCAGGAGTGATCTGCCCTACCCTCTTCCCCGTTTGCCCCCTGCACGGGCCCTGCGGCGCTGACGAGCCCGCGCTCCCGCACTATCACCCCGATGCCACATGCGCCCGGCAATCGCTGACGCGGCGCCCCTACTCGCACTCAGCACACTGTGCGCTCTTTCCCCCCGCGCCGCGTGCGCCATCGCAGCTCTGCCGTTCGCTCCTTTGATTTGCTTCTGGCGCAGCTGCAGAACGCGCTTGGCCACCACCCCCCCGAGCGCAGCAGCCGATACCGCCTCAGCGCGGCCCAGACGCCCCGTCAGGCCCACCTCGCCCGGCCCACACTCGTCGCCGTTTGCCAGCCCAGCCAGGTGGCGCCCCTCCTCCAGGGAAACGGTCCGCCCGGCGGGAAGCACCAGGCGGGGCTGCAGTGACGCTTGACGGCTTATTTGCTTCGCCGCAAGACTAAACATGGGAAACACTCTACCTTGGACTGTGATGGGTTGTGAAATTTCGTGGAGGAAAGGAACAATTCTGGGGACCTTATCGGCAAACAGTGGTGTGGAAACGCAGAAATACAGCTGTGCAAACGCACTTAAGTTTTGTGTCGCACTTAAAGCAATATAGCAGTGAAATAAAAAAATGCCCCACTCCCCTTTCACGTTCAGAGAATGAAACAGTTAAAGGAGGGGACAGCGGAGCGGCGGGCCAAAAGTGAACGGGCTACCATACGTATAGCACAAACAAAACAAAACAAAGGGAAAAGAATGAAGTAACAGTCGACGCATTCCCGCACCACATGTGTGAGCGTACGTCAGGAGTATTCTGGAAATTAAACAGCCATATGGAAAAAGAGTGTCTGTAGAACGGTAAGATGTTAAACAAAAGAAAGTAAAGTAATAATATCAGCAGTAAGTGCTTTCTAAAAGAGGCAAAGCTACACGGTGACAGTAAAAGACTCAAGTATATTCAATACTGCCCATACAGTAGAGTGCGGACTGGTTAACACCAGGCGTAATAGCACCACGGGCGGAGCACACTCCAGTAAATCTAGGTGCTGCATACGTGCTGGAGACGGTGCTTCGGCCGGGGAAAATGGTTCCCCGCAAACATCAAGATGCTTACTCGATCTAAAATCAGGAAAAAGGAAGAAAAATATTGGCTCGACATCCTCGCGAGACGCGCTGCCCGGGCAGGTTTTCAGACGATATCCCCTTTATCAAAGGGGTATCTCGGTTCTGGCGCTGATTCAAGTCCAGCCACTGCGCCAGGGGGCACAGCCACAGCCGCCTTCGGAGACGTTTCGTGTGTACACCCGCGGTGACGTACCGCTGAATTCCTGCGCACCTCGCCACACTCCCGGCTAGGCTCCCTGTCAGCCCCCTCCCCGGCCTTCGTGTACAGGATGCCCTGAGTCGAGTATATCGGCAGGTGCATCCTCAACGCCTCCTCGTGGACCTCAGAGACGTGGATGAGGAGAAAGTATGCAGAGGGCCGCTTCAATTCGTATTTGCTTAGGCACCGAGCCACCAGTCTAACAAGGTTCGTACTGAATCGCCCCAAAGAGTGTGCTGACAAATAGGGTATCGGGTCCCAACGCAGAATCCGCTCAAAGACGTCAAAGTCCTTGTATTGTGACTTCCAGAAAGGCCGTTCCAGTTTCATCAGCTCGTAAAACGTCACACCAGCAGAAAAAATGTCTGTTTTGCCCGTATAGAGTTCAGCGCTCACAATCTCCGGGGAGCAGTAGCACGGCGTGCCAACTCGTGTTGCTACCATTTGCGTGTCATCAGCTAGCGGCCGCGCCAAACCAAAATCCCCGATAAGCACCTGATCGATTGCGCCACGCTCGCCCCTCACAAGAAAAATGTTCGCGGGCTTGATGTCGCGATGGATGACGCTTCGTGCATGACAATAGCTGAGCGCTGACAACACACACGCCATCACACGAACCACGACCTCGGAGGACGGATACTGCTTGCGTTTAATGCATGTCCTGATGTAGTTGTGCAGATCGCCACCATCGCAATAGTTCATGGCGATGCAGTAGCTACCCTGGTAGCTCCCCGGCCCAGTCTCCACCCACACGTCGATATACTTCACTACGCACGGGTGGCAAAGACCGCTCACTGCCTTTAGCTCTCGGTTCGCGCATTCGATGAAGTCGGGGGTGCACAACCCCCTGTTAATGATTTTCACCACAAAACGTGGGGGGTAGTCGGACTGAGGGTGTTTGCTGGAGTGGATAGGCTCTGCCATGAATACCCGGCCGTAGGCTCCCGCCCCAATCGCGTCTCCAAGTACTAAGTCCCTGTTGATAACCTCGCGTCTGTCCAACTTCATCATACCTGCAGTTGTCGTTTTCGCAGTCTTGCGCATTTTTCAGCAGTACGAATAGTGTGAGACAGAGGAGCCAGAGCGCGTTGCGGTAAAGAAGAAAGAAAGAGGACACAGTCGCGGGCACGGGGACAAGTATATCAACCAATGGAATTAATATCTGGAAAAGGGTGAAAGAGTAAGGGAGAGTGAATATGGACGAATTACAGCCAACCAGGGACACACACATTCGTGCATCCACCAAACACACAGTAACAGTAAGCATCGGCGCATCTCGCACTAGCTGCAACAGTAATTGACGGCGCCCGCGCAACGCATAAACATCAGAGAGTGGAAAGGAGGGAAGGCAAAAGGAACCAAAGAAAAAAAAGAACACCAGCAGACTATTGAGCATACGTTATGTGCACACTCCGTACTATCAAGAGACTGTCTAACAGAATCTCGCATTGTCCTTAACGTGCAGATAGAAAACACGTGTTCCCTAGGCATGGTCTTGTTTATCTTATCCATCAATGCTTTACGAAATATAGAGGCATAAACACATGATATAGCCCTGTTGACGCAATAGGATTCATTAGAAAGTATTTTAGAAATCTTCAGCGACTCTATTATTAGCAAAGATTATGTGCTCTGTATTTGAAGACTAGTTATTGACTTGCTAAAGCCTTTACGCGTAATTTAGTTTCTTAACAATACCCCGACTTAGTTTTTCAAATGTGGATTTTTACTCGGAAGGTTTAATTTTCACTTTTTCTTTATTAAACGCTTGAATACTTTATACTATCTGCGGCGTCATAGTGGCCATAAATTTTCAAGGCGGCCTCAACGTTAAGCTTTTGTAAACTATATGATGTGTATGATCTTAGTGGAGTTTATATTTTTCATGAAGTAAGAAAAAAAGGAATAGTATATCATTGTAAGAAAAACACTAAAGAACGTGTTTAATATTAGATCGATAGATATCTATATATTATGTAGATCTTTTGTATTTGACTCTTGGTATCCCTCTTCTTAGCTCTTTGAGCTTTTTACGTGTACTACCTCAAAATTCCTCAAAGGTATGCACAGATGCATAATTAAATAATAGATAATAGCCATAAAGACTATTGCTGGAATTGCATATTCGCGAGAAAAAGCAATCCAATAGGGCTCATCATCGGACACACGAGTTGGGTTACTGAAATAATTACTCCCTATAGCTGGAGAAAAGGTTGCCTGTGGCATGTAATTTAGTTTGTCAAGTCCTTCCTATTATAGAACTATCTATCTGATAAAAAAAAAGAGTGAACCACACGCTGGAATAAAAAATGTTGATTAGATATAAAAAGAAAATGGTTAAGAAAATTAGATTAAGCAATAAAGTGAAAGACAATCTTTAAAGGCTTCATACATCATCCTACAGAATATTTATTGACATAAAAGAACAATATACGATTTAAAATAGTGAAAAAAACGTTCCAATTTTTCGGGGAATAGTATCACTAATCTAAGAAAACTTAGCTCTCTTTTCATACTTCATAACTAGATCACGATGTATTATGATGTATAATTAAAAGAATCCTTTCTTGCGTTTGTCTAGGAGAATTGTGAATCATGTTTTTTACCCAAACACTAAAAACACTTTTATAGTCAGGCAAGCGAACCTTTATTCATAAGCAAGTAAAGACTTAATTGGTAACTATATGAAAATAAAGAGTTGAATATTACAAAGTAAATATTTTGCTTTTCCTTGATTACTACTATTTTCCTTTCTGATTTACCGCATTGGTGAAATTTAAATATATAACCTAACTTCTCTCCACTATTGCTACTACGCATCGGAGTCTTCAATTCGAATTAAAAAGTGTGTTCGCGATGTCTTTTCGGCTTTAGGCTTTAAAGTTACCTCAGTAAGCTTTAAATTAGACAACAAGGCAACATGAGCCTCTCGAATAAGCCACCTGCGAAGTGGCAATCCATCCTCTTCGGGATGGTCGTTGATTCCTGATAGTTGATTAATGAGGAAGTCATCATCACTGCATCCCTCCTTGAGGAGGCGGTTGCGAGGCAGTTCCACGATGATAGTCGCAGATGGCATGGCTTTTTAAAAGAAAATTCGTTGATTGAAGTATTATAAAATAAAAAAGTGATCTTGATCTTATTTGAAGATTTTGATATACCATTGGTTACATTATGATAGAGAAAAAAAAGGAAGTAGAAATATATGATTCGCACAATACAATAGTATAACACCAATAAAGTTATCTATTAGGGATAATATTCACAGTAGTAGTAGTAGTAATGGGATCTATCTTTAGAACGTTTCCACTTGTTACTGTGAAAATTTGAAACAAAGGATGGAGAGTAAAAATTAAGCCGCCCTTCTTCTAATATCGCCTTCATTCATCTCCCAAAAAAAATATCGTTCAGTCGCAGGTCGAGGGGACCCCTAAAATCATGTGTCTCAGGGGTTCACGCATGATCCACTTGAAATTCTTTAGGAACAACTGTTCGGTTGTGATATGCTTTAGAAGCTGAAGAGAACAATCATAGTGCTGGTGGTTCAGGAACCAATATTCATCACACCTTAGCCCAGTCCTTGGCAATCCAACTTTCGTCAGGTTTGTTAAAAACATCGCCTTTGCTGAACTGGCACTTTTAATAAACAACGTAAATATAGTGTGTGGGAATTCACTCCTTAAGATGAACCGCAACGTTGACATTCCATCCCGTTTTCTTCATTTTAAAATGCATTGCTTTCAACCATCCCCACTTCATACACACACACAAAAAGGGGATTGCGTTCTGTTAAGCCCAAATGAAGGTGCATCTAAACATCTTCAGAGAAGGCACTCTCCCCCCTTTGAAAATACGACTTCCACGGATCGCTACATTTTTCTGGATCCCAGAAAGAAAGAGGGATGCTTACAATGATGTGGTGAGCCTCAGTCTTTTGGAGGAAAAAAAAGAACTGAAGGTGTGTCTACAAAAAAAGATGAGGGATTTGGATTATCCTCATTGGGTTGCATTATCGCTTTTGTTCCATTTTGAACTTTGAGAAAAGGACGGAAAACTTCGGAGAAACCTCAAAGTTTTGTGTTTAGGTAGAGACATTAGATAGAATTATAGAAATCCATCAACTTGAGCCCAAACATATTCGGTACCCTCACAAGATATCCTGAAATTTTGTGGGACATTCCAAGAAGTGCAACTGCAATCGATAGTGCTAGAATCAGAATATTTGCTCATACGCCTCAGATTTGATTCAAAAATTCATCAACAGGAACACCCCCCACACACACACAAAAAAAAACAAAAAACGATTAAGTTTGTAGTCCCGCCTAACCGTTCCGTTCAGTGTTATGCAAGGTATCAAGCAATAACAACACTAAAAACACGGGGAGTAATGAGAAGAGGCACCAAAGTGGTAGCATATCCGTATGAGTGAATTCCTATAAGAAAAAATAAAAAGGTAAAAAAACTGACAACGTTGTCGGCGTCATCCCCCGCTCCCATAAAATTCCCCTCACACACTCAGAGTCATTTCGACTTCTTCCTTGTCAGAACTATAGCCTGTGAGGAGAAGATAAAGGAAGAGAACGAGAAAAAGCGGTCCTTGCTATCGGTAAACGCGCTCGAGTGGAACCGTTGGCTGCGATTTTCCCCCCGTAGCGTCTACACCACTTAGAGCGGTGTAGCGCGTCCTGGGGTGTCCATCCAATAGAAGGGTCGTCAGGTGGGCCACGGATAGTGACATAACCTCCGAAATTTTATCAATCAAGTTGGGCGTAATGCGCGCTACGGGGCCTAATGCAAGTTGGCGTATAGCGTGCACGCCCTTAGCATTGCGTTGCGTTTTTGTTGGGTTATAAATAGCCTCGAACGCTAACAACTCGGACAGTATTTCGTGTGGCGTATTGCATTCATCCTCAGCATACAGACGTTGTATCTCCAAGACACCCCGAGAGGCGATAGTGAACACCTCATTGCGTGCCTCCTCCTGTACATCTTCCTCTAGAAGCAAAAAGGAGGATGAGAGGTCAACATCCCTATTCCCCTCGCTATTACCGGAATGCGCTACGGCATGGCAACACCGTAGCAAAGCCTGAGCGAGCATGTACTTGGCCTGCCGGACGGGAATGGGAAGAAACTTTTCCCTCTGCTTTGGGCGCTGCTCCACAAGCCTCGTGTAGGTGTCAAGGGCATCTTTCCAGTTTGTTGTCGTGTGCAAGGCGTATATTTTCGTGTCCTCCAGCCATTCCAGCTCCGGTGCATCGGCCCCGAAGGTTTCAGTGAGGTGATCTTTCAAGCGGTTCATCAAGTCGCTGTTGGGGTCGCTTGCGGAAACAAGATAACAGCTTCGGAGCACCGTCTGTAGCTCCATCCTCCTTGCCAATGGCTGCTGAAGCCATACGTTCGAATTGTAGTACTGATAGAGCTCCGCCGCGAGAGCGCTTTTACGGGTTGTCGTGTGTACGTGTTGACTAGCAAGCAACTGCAAGCATGCGACCGCGCAGGGTCGATCCAGTCCAACCCCGTCCCGCACGATCCGCTCGACCTGACTCCCCACCGTAGACATCAAGGTAACCACCGATCTAAGCGACTGCAGGTACACCAGCAGCGCCTCGGAGTGCAAACTGCGGAGCGAGTAGTGAAGCTCGAAGATCGATCGAAGGGCCTCGGAATGAGCGGCGTGGCCCTCCGCATTGCAGGCGGCCATCGCAAAGGCATAGGTCTCCGGGGTGGGAATCAACAAGCGGTAGGAGGTCTC